CCCATTTTGGGGCTTGCTTTCTTGGTGCATGCTCTATGAACCTACTGGAATTCATCAGGTTCCATGGGCGCCTATAGCATGGCAACCAGGCTCTTTCTTTCTGGAGTTTTTCTCCTTGCTTTCTGGCCAACTTGATGGCTGGCTTCTCTAGCCTTTGTATTACCTGCAACACCAATGCTTGTCTGCCATTGCGGGCCATATGGGGCACCAGCCTCACGGCACTTGCATTGCTTCAACTGGCCCCTCTGGCACGTTCCATTTATTGCGCCTGCTTTGACGGCTCAAACATCTCCTTGCCCGTTCCCGGCCAACCAACGCCAATCAAATGCATGCCAAGCCCATGCATTTGGACGTCCAGAATGTGGACCATCTACGGCGTCCGCTTTGTGGCATGACACTGCTTTTCCCGGCTATTTTAGTATTGTACCACTGGTTCCCCAGTGCTCCGCCACATTGCCCATCCGGCCAGCCATGGCCCCCTCTCCTAGCTCCACTCCCACGTATTAACACCCAACATGACTAACAATGCAATGGGGAGTGCCTTCCTTGCATATCACTTGCTCCCGCCAGCCATTCTTGCATATTGGCAGCCACATTACCAACCTCCACCATTGCAACATTTCTCTACATGTGGCCGCGATGGTCCCCCATGGTCCATCGCTTTTCTGGCCCCTATGGCGTCAATAGCTTCTTGGGAAGTGGTGCCTCTCACTCACGGCACCTGCATTCAGTCACTATGCAACATGTTGACACACACTCTAATGTAGAGCTGCTTGACTCCACCATGTGCTAGTGCACCTTCTCCATCGATTGGGGCTCCTCCATCGGCTTCATTGTTCCCATCATCCTCAAAACCGAGGCTGCCACAGGGCAGCCTATTTTGGCGGGGATGCTCCCGTTGGACCGGTCGATCTAGGGGGGAATAGACAGGATGGACGGCAAAGGGGAGGGAGGGGTCTGGGCTCCGAAACCAATTGTTGTGCACCACATCGACCCACCCCCAAAGGGTGGTGCTCATGGGGCGTGCCCAGGACTGCTAGAGGTGGGGAGCAAGGCAACTAGAACAAAGTTCGTTATGGTCAAACGCCGCATTTGCTAAATACAACCAAATTATGTTTAATGTTCAGTGGGCCCATTTCAACACTATGCCAGGCAATGAATACACCCAAAATCCTCATAACTCTAAGACATTTCCACGGCATCTAGCAGAAGCTAGTATTCCAAACAATGTCTCCATATCCTTAGGAACCAAAGAGAGAATGAAATTCATTTTGGGACATTTCGAGCTGAAGGTTCCTGTATAATTGAGAAGGAGCATTCGTTAGCTTATTTCATGAATGGTGGAGGTGGCTGTCAACCCTGGTGTAGGCGCGGTCCCCCCTTAGCCGCGTCCAGGTACCCTGGCCCGCGCTCTAGGGCCTCTCCGGTGGAAGCGTGGTCGTCCTCGGCCGGACGGCATGTCCCGGGCTCTCTCTGGCCCGTGGGTGACGGCCGCTTTGTGCGGTCCCGTCTGAGGCGCGCGGCGGCTGCACTCGAGGAGGCAGGGAGGCGAGCGTTCCAGAACAATCGAACCACAATCGGCGCCGCCGCCAGGCGCTCTTACATGTGGCGGCCAAAATAATGAAAGTTATCATTTTCATTAAGCATCTCCATTTTGCCCAAACCCGTTTTCCGACTATAGATTAGCTTATGATGAGATATACGCAAATCTGCACATCCTGCGAGATCTGCGATGAATCGTGGCCATGGCAAGTGGACCACCCTTTGCAGTATGCCGATTTCAGTCATGGGTGATGGGGTGGATGGGCGAATGGCCACCATTTTTGAGTGGCGAAAGGGTCGTGGCCTCCCCACCCATCAGGGTGCCAGCGACTTTTCTGAAGAGCTGGAAATGTTGCAACAACAGCAGTTTGCACAAACTGGTGTGCAGGCTGCGGTTTGATTGCCAGACGGCCGTGTCATGTTTGGCAAGCCTTGGAAGAGGGCGAATGACATGCAAATGGCCCTTCTTGGAGAATAGGACGAGGCGATGCGAAGGGATGGTGTTTTGTTCGATGCGACAAAGGGTGCGACTGCGTTTTTCACCCAGAGCTGCGACATGGCTGGTCTTTCTCCGCTCCTCAAGTTCGAAATTCTGTTTGTACTTGAATCGATGGTGTACAGAGGGCTGGAGCGTGTTTGGCGGGTGGCCTCAAGGGAAGTGGCACAGGCGATTTTGGAGAAAGAAGAAAACAAGCCCGTTCTTTGGTGGGCATGCGTAATTGTCAGTTATCATTTAAAGGCAGCGAAGCAACAGGTCCTGGAGGAGTTTTTCTCCAAGTGAACGGCACAGACGATTGCTAAGGCATGCGAGGATGATGAAGTCAAGGCCCTGAGGCAGGAAAGGCGCAATTGTAGTCGATGCCACTTGGACCAATCCCTATGGCCCCTATGACAACGCGTGGTGTCCAGACGCTGAAGGAGTACCACGAGCGCCAGCGAGAATTTGATCAGCTACTGGTCAAGGATGCTGAGAATGTGGAAATGATGAATTGGCTGGCGAAAAAGGGGCCGAAACCATTGATTCTCGAGCCTTAAGAGCGTGCCCCAGGTGCTGAACGCCATCCATGAAAGTGTCAGGGCATGGGCAGCGTGGCATGGAGAATTTGCGGTGCCATGCTGATCGTATTGAATGGAGATGACGTGGGTGGGACCGTGAGGGCCACAGAGAATATAGAAATGAGTGTTGTGCGCATGAGACCTAGATCCCATGCCAGATTTGATTAGATTTTGAGCAGATTCCCTAGATTTGATGACAATGACAGGCTGGCCAGCCGTGGGATGCATGGCTTGGACTTTTCACCTGTCACTGGCAGTGCATGACATGACTGGATATTATGTGGAAGATTGATTGGATTTGGGAGGGGCAGTACAAAGATGGGACTTTGAATGCTGGAAAATTTTGATGTGCACGACACTAGGCATTATGAGAGGGGCAGCGGGGAATATTCTGTGGTATGTGCTGTGAAGTTTGTGGCTGAGAATGAGTATGAGAATATATATAAACCGGTTGGTTGGCAATGTCGTCGACCCCCAGTTTGTAATCTACGTTTGGTTGCAGCTGTTGCTGTCAGTCAGGCCTCCTCACCGGCTGAGGAGAGGACCTGCGAGGCCAACTGAGCGTCCCTTTCAAGGGAGCGACTCAGGCCCTGTGTGCCACTGGTGTGAGACGACAGGCCTGTGCGTTTCTGGCCGTTTCGTCGCTCAGAATCGACCCCGCTCGACTGAATTCAAGTCGATTTCTCACTACTGCCCTCAGGAGAGTTTTGGCCATGGTAAGGCCTCGATCTTTGCACATTGTATTTCGACAGTGCCACGGGTGGCTCGGGTCGCACTGCATCCTGGGCTGGGCGATAGTGCAACGCAGAGCAACAGGGTTTTGGTGGCCTTGGGGTCTGGCTCCTAGCTGGACCGACTCACGGCCCACGAATCCCTGAATTCGGGCAACGAGTGGCGCAGCCACTCGTGAAGCCACTTTTAATGGGGGGGTTCGGGTAATAATCTTCATTTCGCTTTCTCGCACTCTCGCCCAGCGCTTGCATAATGATTTTGCTGTGAGAGACTGGGGACGGCTGCCTGTTCTCCTTATTCTTGGGACAGAAAGGCAAATCGTATTTCGGGCGAACACGCCCAAGCCAGAAAGCGAGGTCGTTGTGGGGTGCTGGAGAATGGAATACTTGAGTGTCCTTTACATGGTTTCCACATGTCGCTGTTTGAGCGACGGTCGAACGCGTTGTTGGAGTTGTATTATCAGCCACTGACCTGGGTAGGAAGTCACAGGGCCGGTCGTAAGACCGCTTACAATGCACAGCACTGGGGAAAGGCAGATGTGGGCCAAGCAAGCATGCAAATCGTTGGTGTGGAAATGCATGAACTGTCCTGTTCTTGGAATTCTACCAGACCGGCGTTGGGTGGATGCGCCTTTGCTTTGAATTGGCGGCCAATTCAATTGCAGTGCAAAACGTTTGGGCCAGGGCAAGCTTTTGGCGTTCTAGAAGACCTTCAGCACCTTGGCTCCTATTGGACGTGGCGTGCTCTTTCAGGGGCCGAGTGTGGGAGCCATTTATCCCCTCCCCAAGGTTCCACCTTGTTTCGTTTCGCACTTGGCCCACTCTGAGAGTACGTACAGTCCAGTATCGGGGAGGGAGCCCATGTACCAGGCAGAAATCAAGTTTTCTTTCGCAAGGATACCTGCTGGGGGCCCTGGCTCTTGTGGTGGGGGCTGTAGGCGTACTGCAACTTGCCTCGACATTGACGTCTGCTTCGAAGCATAAGCTGGAAGACTGAGGAATGCGTGACCCCAGCTCTACCAACTTGGGAAGAGAGTCAGAGGTACGCTTCACCAGTAACAGCCATAAAAAGAAGTCGCGAGAGCTATGGCGGCGACCCCTTTTCCAAAGGGGGATAAAGTGGCTGGTCAACTGCCAACCCGCCGTTGATTTTGGCCATCTTTGTGACTTCGCATGTTTCTGTTCACAATTGTGCTACTTGCCGACCGTCGTTCACCACTGGGGAATGCCGATGCCTTCCCATCACAGAACCGTGCTGTTAGGAGAATCGACACCTTGTATCCCAGACATTCTCTTTTCATCTCAACCTTAAGAAAACTGCCTGGCATGCCACATGTCTGCAGCTCCCACAACATCACCCAAGCCACACACTGCCTCCACAACTCAGGTGACGCTAGAAAGCAGCGGGGTCCAGCACCCAAATGGTGCAACAGCACCCAAATGGTGCAAGGGCACCCACACATATACAAGTCAACAGTACTTCTGCGTCGTGGGCACAACCACCGCAGCAGCACCCACAGTGGAGAGCACACCTGGGTCAAAGAATGCTCCAGATCCTTCAATAGCAAAATTGGCGAGCGGCCTTCCCACCTATGGCTGCCACACACCTCGTGTCTTCCAAGTAGTGCGACAGCCATGCACGATGCCGATCACCTCCCCTGCACTTAAATGTCACCTGCTAATGTTACACACCTGCCTGTCGTCTGACCCATTTTCAGAGGGCCCATTTTCAGCCTTAGGCTGCTCCGATCGATCATTGATCGGAAGTGGTTTCGGGGGAGTGTACAACACGAGCTCCATCCCGGTACCCCCAGCAGTGTCCTGCACCTTGTTTTCCTTGTCTGATTCAGTGCCAGGCTCGGATGTGCCCAAATGAGCATCACCGGTGTCAGACCAATGCTTGTTGCTGGAGGACCCAATATCCCAGGTGGAAAAGTTGCTATTCTGGTAGTAGCTCGACTTGTTCCACTCCCCATATGTGTCGTTGCCCGATTGGAGGATTGGACCACCAGGAAGGAGATAGGCATTCCCGTTGCTCGAGTCCCCAGAGCCAGCAAAGTGGCCAGGGCCATTGCTCGAGTTTGTAGCACACGCTTCCCAGCCAACTGCTGCTCCAGGTCCCTCAGAGTACCTTGAACACGTTGGGCTAGAGGTGCTGGGGTATTGGAACCTACAGGCAGCAAATACCAATGTGTCAATTAGCTGCGTTGGCATGCGTTGGAAGATGCCTGTTGAGGTGTGCATGGAAACACAGCCACCATTGCTGCGCAAGTGTGACAGGTGTGCATTGTGGCTTTTTGACAAAAGCAAACAAGGATTGGCACCCACTGCACCACCACCTTCTGCAGCTCATTCTCCAACTTGGGTTTTCCTACCACATTATTGTTACTCGTTTACACAGCCACAAGGTGGACATAGATCGCAAAATCTAGTGTTATCATACTTCCGGAGCTCAGGGCTGCCGTCTTTTCCAGCTTTGGCATGAGAGCGTTGGAGCTGCTCAAGCCCAGCTGTGCCCTTTGGCTTTTATGATCTTGTACATATTTGCCAGATTCTCTGGAATGCAGACTGTTCAGACTGCTGTTTGGCCCATCGCACTGCCAGAATCAGCCTCGCCACTCCAACATGCACTGCATGCACAGACACTGGCAGTTTGCAATACCCTGAAACACATACAACAGAGCACACACACCTGCTGGAGTTCATGTCCCTGCTCCTGCAGTAACTGCTGCAGTTGACGCCTCCATCCCTCAGAGTCCTCTGCCATGCCCTCCCACTCTCCCTGCGCTCCTTCATGGCCATTGACACGATGTCCTCTGGGTCCTTCTGCGCGTCCACTCGTCTCCTGTAGAACAGCACGTACGCCGCAGTGCTCACCACCACCCTGGGGGACACCTCGCTGACGTACTCGTCATCAAAATGGTACCATTTTCCGTTGAAGTGCTGGCAATATGCAGTATAGTGGCCCATTCGCACTGACCCATAGTGGTTGAGAACTGCGTACAGATCGTACACTGGCTCTGTGTCCTGCTTGATGGCCACATATGGGGACATGTCCAGCCCCTCGATCGGGAATTCGACCAGCATGCTGTTGCGCTCCCAGCCCTCGCCATTGCCCCGGTTCTCAAACCGCTTGATCTGGATGACCAAGATCTCAGGCAGCTCAAAGATGTTGAAGCAGTTCTGCGCAGGTACCTGCTTCTTGCAGCGGTCGCAGGCGTAGGCGTTGTGGCCCGACAGCCGGGTGGGCTGCTGGAAGACTTCAAACAGGTGGTCAAGGTCCACAGAGTGGGCCTTGTGATTCTGTGCCAGCCTCGCCCTTTGCACGCTGGGGTCTGTCTCGGGGCTGGCCAAGCAGGACAGGTCAAAGAACTTGTGGTGGTCGCCTGCCCACTCCAGCACAAAGTCCTTCTGGCTGCTTTTCCTGTCGGAGTAGTAACCCATGCACCCCCAGAGCTCCCTAAGCCTGTAGGCACTGTCTGGGCCTGTGGCACCACCAAATGCACCACGATCGGTCACTGCGCTGAGTTCATGGCCATATGCTGACCCATACTGTTCGCCGTCATACTGGTTCCCATCATCCTCATCAAAAAGACTGCCCACATATGGGCCCCTGTCGTCTTCTTCCGGGCAACAGAATGTGCCACGCGGGCTGGTTGCTTCCTCGCCAATCTCCACTCCATTGCCACCACTCCTTACAGCAGTGGGAGGGCTCATGCTGCGATCCTCAGGCTCCCCAGGAGACATGAGCTCTGGTGCCTCCGCAACCTTCTCACTGCAGTCCTGCTCCTCGGGGCAGGCGGCTGCCTCCTCAGACACCTCCACATTGGCGGCACATCCCCCTCCTGGCGAGCAGTGGGCACTGCACTCTGTTGACAGGCAGGCAGACTCAGCGCTCGCCTCCCCTTCGCCCTGCTTCCCGGACAGCCCTCCATCCAGCAGTCCATCCTCAGCACAGTGCTGAGAGGCCTCAGCTACATCGTCAGCATCATCCACACCCTGGTCCGAACACATGGGACTGCGCTCAGGGCTGGGGGCGCACCCCTTGGACGACCCAGCATCCTGCTTCTCATCCATGTCACTGCCACCCACAGCCCTTCCAAGTTCACAATCTGCAATGATCCTTGTGGGCTCAAGACAGTCACTGCCACCTGAAGAGTGCCGGCCACCAAATTCCATGGTTTCGTCCCCGCTGCCACATGCGCACTGCGTGGAGCTAGCCGGTGAGTTGCCGCTGCTCCGCTGGCCAACCCTCTCCCACTCATTTGTGTCTTCACCACTAGCCTCGCCAACAGCCTGGGCGGCATGCTCATAATGGCCCCTGGCCCACATGTCAGTGGTCCCATGTTTGCCCCAATCTTCATCCTGCTCCACAGCTCGACGTTTGTACGGCCTAAGGGCCCGGTCCAGCATCTCATGCAGTGCCCCCCGTTTCTTGGAATCTGTTGCATCTGCCATGTTCTCCTCTTTGACCCAGAACACGAGAGGTGTTCCAAAGGTCATGGGAAAACTATAGGTGGCTGGCTTCCTGTGTTGGATATGGGTCTCCATGCCACCTGACAGAGGCCCCTGTTCCTTGTTGGGGTATTTGTACACCACCAGCTCATCGTCAAACCTGTCAAGGACTTGTTTGAAAGGACTCAGTAAGAGCGGCAGGACTCAGGGAACATGTGACTGCCATTCCTCCACAGCTGGGTAGCAATGAACTTGAAAACATGATGACAAAATGATCGCAAGATACCCACATTTGTGGCTGAACCAGAAGAAGCAAACAGTCTCCAGATTCTGTGCAGTTGGCAGACTGTGGCTCACAGCCCAGCACAGCTGGCTGCACATACAATTCTGGTGTGATCAGTGGCAGGCAGCTCTACAAGGCACACACTGACATTCCAGCAGCGAATGTCTTTCAGAATCCTATTAGGGCATGGAATTCAAGCCATTTCAGCAGTGCAGTTTCTTGCTTCCCAGCAGAGGCAAGGCCGCTCACCCGATCCTGTCCAGAGACTCGTGCATCTTCTGCAGTGTCCTCTGCACTGCATGGCCATGCACGACTGCTATGTAAATGACAGCATTCATGTCACTGTCTTCCACCCCAAGCGCTCCAGACACAGCAGTGTACAAGTCCTCCACCGAGCCCTCCCAGTCCACCTCCACTGCATGCCGGCAGGGGGCCTTGGATCCATCCACCTCGATCACAGTGAAGATGAAATGCCTAGTGGCTGGGTGGGGCAGCTGAAGGGTGACGGTCATCACCGGGTCAAAGCGACGAGACACTGAACCGCAGTTCAGGCAAGTCGTTGTGCACTTGTACATCCCAGTGCAGTGATCAGACATCAACGATGTGTTGCGGTCCCTGTTGGTAAGTCAAAACACCAGTCTTGGTGCCAAACTGGCATCAAGTTTTCTTCTTGTGGCATTTCTTATTCCAGAACATTACGTAATGGGTGAAAGCCCAGGTTGTTGATGTTGTTCATGACAATGGACAGCTTTAGCCAGCACTTGGCACACGCACGCTCACTGCTGCACCAGGTACAGGAGAAAGACAACAAAGCATGGCCAACCAACATGATACTTTCTACATAAATCTGCAGTAACATGTGCGATTCATGGTCATTGTCTTCTAATTTGCCATCATCATATCCAGCCAGTGTAGACACCATATACACATCATGTTCAATATCCCAGTACCATCGACTCCGCCATACAGGGGCAGGGAGTGTCGCTGCTAGCAACCCCGTAGACCGCCCACAGGGGACAGCTGCACCGCACTGTCTAGTAATCCAACAACCGTGAGCCACTGGCCAGACACCAACAGTTTCTGGAAACACTTCATGCAAAAAGGCTGGTTGGAGGGTATTTCTTTTCCATCTTTGTTGCTAAGATGCTGATGGCCCCTTTCAGGAGATGCGATGGTCACTTGTGTCCGTATTGGAGATCATCTGCAGGGGACAGAAACTTACTGCTGTTCAGCGCTTTAGCTCAATGGAATATTGTCAACCAAAGCATCGCATACATCGCAAACATCGGAGCAGAGAAGCTTTGCCAGCAATTTGGGATGCTGGGCTGTTCCAACGTGTGGCTGTCCGATCTGGATCGTCATCCAACCATAAGCCACAGGCTAATCCTATCAGAAACAGTGTGCTCGTGAGGATATTTGGGTCCATCAAATGGCAATAGACCATGCAAGCATCACTCTCCTATGTTGGCTTCAATTCTTGCAAGGATGATTGCTAGTGTCCGCAATGCACACCTTCGTCAAAGTTGTTTTCCTCAGGAACTCGTTGAATGCAGTCGAGCCATGCTCGTAACAACTCAGCCAAATGTGGCATGGGCACAGACACCTTCAGCATTTGTACAGATCCTTTAAAAGGCAGCTGTCGCAAGTTGGGTGAAGGAACTCGATTCATACCTCGCTAATGGGGTGTACATCAACTGATTGTTCCTTCTGTTCCTTCCTCACTGGCCTGAAAATGCCTGGGTATCTTGCAAACCAAGCAATTGCACACTCTGGATTTGACCACTTTCGGCTTTTGTGTGCCAGCACATAGCTGCACAGAGCTCTGGCAATAGGTTGTGACGAGCACTTCCTCTTCCGATGATGCTATTCTGCCAGTATGGAGATTGACGACCAATTCTCACCTGTAGTACTCCCACGCTTCTTGGGCAACATGCAGATCTGTCCGATCTGGATCGTCATCCAACTATAAGCCACAGGCAAATCCTATCAGAAACAATGTGCTCGTGAGGTTCCTTGGCTTCCCTGCACTGCTGGTAGGGATAATCAACGACTTCCCTCCCACATCTATTGATTTCGTGTGACATGACACATAAAAGGGTAAGGTGGACAACATCCCTACCAAGCCATTTGCAGTCAGCCAGGAACTGGCATGAGCATCACAATGCTAAAAACAGATCTGCTTGAAATCTCCAGATGGATGAAAGGGCAGCGACACTGTCATACCGTCATCTTTCAATACGTGCACTTCACAAGGATTTTCACAATACAAGATGCTGACTTGTGCGGGAACTGTGCAAGAACCATTGGGAACTACAACCATTGGCAAAGAGCCCTAAGTTCACAGTGGGCACACAAACCTTCCTGTACGGCTTCTTCTCAGCCTTGTTCAGGTCCTCATGCAGGCCATCCAGTGCCCAGCCCAAGAACTCTTGCGTGTCATGGTGTCGACCCTCCTCAAACAGGAAAGTATTGTTGCACACAGTTTGCTTGAACCCCCTTGGAGCGTAGTAGTGGTCTCTCCCCTACGTGCAGCAGCAGTAGTGTCTGAAGCTTCGAATGGTCTGGTGAAATCAAGGTTGCCAAAGGAGGCAATGGGGGCTGTGATGTATGGCCCTGCCAGCATACTCGCCAGTCTTCTTACCAGCCAGACTTCCTCCATCACTTCACCAAAGGCTTCTGCAACCTCGCCCTTGTAGCCCAGCAAGTTGGCTGTGTTGATGTCATCCCTGTAGCTGCCCGAGACAAAGGGATGCACCAAAGGGGGGGTGTGAGCCAGACATTGCAGGCTGGAGTTCATGAAGCATGTATTGTGCAGGTTCTTCAGCCCCACGACACCTGAGTGCCTCCCCACAGTTGGCTGTTCATGCACACAAAGAACTTGTCAGGAGCCTTCAAGAGCTCAACGTGGAAATTTCCGCCCTCTATTTCTACTGATCAGGATTTTCGTTGGCTTCTCTGGGGAGCCATTGTTCTTGTTGATGAGAGGCCCATCACGTTGCCCAAAACAGCCTTGTGCCCTTGCAAGGGCTTCACATACACAAGGTTGGGAGCAACGCATGGCCACAGATTGAGGTGTTTGCCACTGCGGGAGTCCTTCCTCTCGCTCCATGTGACTAAGCACAGTGCATAACCAAGCTCAAGGGGGCATATGAGCCTGGGAGCCTGGGAGCAACCAGTGGTCAGGCCGTATATGAGCCTGTGAAACTGGAGACGCCCGCGCACCACTGCCAACCAATAAGCCACGCAGCCCCGATGAGCGCAATCCGAAGTAGGGGCAAAGACCGCAACCCAATCGATGCTCGCGTCTCCGGGTGACCCAGATCCGCAACCGGCACTGCAGACGCGGAAAGGCTGCAATCGAACAAGCGCCTGTCGGCTCTGGACGCGGGCACCCTCGCGATTCCTCTGCCCTCACCATGAAGAACAGTGGTCGCTGGCGTGAGCGCCCACAGAGCGACCCAGCTCGGGTCCAAAGACGTCGCGGACAGGCGCAAACACGCCATCAATCGGAGGAAAGTCGAGTTCTAATTGCGCGGACTTGGCGTGATTCCCGTGGCAGCCGCAGGCCCTCCATGGCTGATCGCAGTGCGGGCATTCCAGTGCCAAGGTCGCGCCCGACGCGGCCACAGGCGTCCGGGCCCAGGCCACCGCGCGGGGGCCCAAAGACCGCTGTGCCAGTCCGTGCGGCATTCGCGAAGGTGCGGGGGATGGGACCTAGGCGACCAGGTCAGGGATAGCCTCGACCGTGGCGATCTTCCCGCGTCCCTTAAACCCAAGGTCAAGGCGTCCGCCCACATCTTCGGGCCGCGATCACAGTCAAAAAATCGTCGACTCGTCCAGGCAGAGCGTGCGCCCAGCAGACAGATTCCGTGCAGGGAATGCCCGGATGCAACCTAGAGTGCCGCGCAATCTCCTTCCCTCCACAAACGGCAGCGCCTGCGCGACCGACGCGAAAACCCAGGGAGAGTTGGATCATCAGCCGCCGACCTCGGGGTCCACCCACCTTGCCGTCGCTGCTCGCGAAGCTGGTGTCCTGCTCCCGGGAGGAGCCCCAACCCGACGGGCCGGCCATGGCCGACTGCGGCACCGGGCGGCAATCCGCCCTTCAGGGATCCCTGGAAGCGCAGACGCGGCGCTTGGTGGTAGTGGCGGGGCGCCGCACGGCGTGGGGGAATAGCGCCACCACCCGGGAGCCGCGCAGCAGCTGCCCGGGGGGTCAGCTGCCGGTGGTCGAGCGGGGTCGGCGTTGGCCGGCTGGCCGGGAGGGGATTACAGCGCGAGGCGCGTGGCCGCGGCCGCGGGGACGCTGGACGCTCGACGCCGGGGAAGGTGCTGTGCGCGACGGCCGAGGCAGGCAGTGCAACGACCGTAGATTTTAAGGAAAAGTGGGCGTTAGGTGCAAGGTCGAGGTGAAGAGGGCAGAGATGCAGGAGGCAGAATGAATGATTCTAGCATTGGGGTAGGCGTGCACTTAGGCGAAGCACCTGACCCCAGACCTCTAGAAAAGTTAATGTTTAGAGCCAATGCCGAGCCGGATTGATGAGTGACTGGCTTGAGAATAATTGGAAAAACGGAACACTTGCTGAGCAGAACAAGAGGAAAGCCAGAAATGGGGAAATGGGGAAATGGGAAATGGGGGAGAAATGGAAATGATAGAAATGGGGAAATGGGGAAATGGGGAAATGGGTCGTTTGGCGGGTGTTGGTATTTTGATGAGGCCTTCTGGCCTCAGAGGGGGTAGGCGCCAGTGCCGACACACTACCCAACAGTCTCAAAATACGCGCCCAGCGGCCCCTTATTCGAGCACGCCTTTGAATTCAACTGACAACGTCAGCTCAGCAATACCTTGCCATATGGGCACGAACCGCCTGTCCTTCATTGGCATAGTTCCATTGGTGCCGTCTGTCACACACAGCGCACCAGGCTGCCCTGAACAGGTAAAGGCTTTTTCGCTCATGGTTCCAGGCCGTGAAATCAGTCAGCCCATTAAACATGAACTACAGATGAACAGCGGCTGTATACCCACTTTGGACCACAGCCACTGTGGCTGAAGCATTGAGCATCGACCTGAACTTTCCATCCATTCTCCTTTTGGTTGACGCTGCTATTAAACCTAAGGTCGATCAAGTCCTTTGTCTTGCGAGCAGGCTTGGCTTTTACGCTGTAAAAGCTGATCGTATTTACGTTTTTATGCGTAAAAATAGTTTTTAAGTTTCTATGCGTAAAAGTGCGTAAAATACATAAACACAACGTAAAAACTGCCCGGTGTACATAAGGACAGTACATACAGACTTATGGAGTCCGGAGAGTGGCAGCCAGACGCCCTGGAAGGGGCAGGAAACGAGTTTTTGTTAAACGCCATCGTCGCCCTTGCCAAAGGCAAGTTGGGCACTGTGTTGCAGGTACTGGAGATGGCAGAGGACTGATCATTGTATGCAACTTTCATCGTGTAACCTGGGTGTCATAGGAGCCGTAAAATAATGAGAATAGCTGTAAAAATAGGGTCTTTTGCAAATTTACGTTTTTATGCGTAAAAACGTAAAAGTAAAAACGTAAACGTAAACGGAAAAACCAAGCCTGCTTGCGAGCACCGTTCCTGATTAGAAACACCAAAAACTCCTCAGAAAGCGTTTGCAAAACAGCTGTCACAGATTCTCTATTGCCTGAACTTGTTAAGCCTAACTGCAGTAAGTTTGCCTTTGCGGAACAGTACCAAAATGCTATTCACTGGGAAACATGCTGGGTTTTACATTTACGAGATCTGCATTATTGTTTTCTGATTTCAGTATTTCTGCTTGCTTTTTATGCTGGTTGGACATGCTGGCTGCTGAATGCCAACAGTGCCACCCATATCAAATTCCCAGTGCATGGTGTGGTGTCGGCAACCAAATGTTCGTCATGTGTCAGTGTCATTTAATGTAGCGACTACATGAGGGCCAGGTCAGCACATCAATGATCCCGCAACAATGCCACTGCTTAAACGGCTGTCGAATCTCAAGATGAACGTCTCCCCATCCCCTGGGGAAGCTGAACACCATGCTGGACCTTATCAACCATTCTGATCGTGTCGAGATCCAACACCGCTAACCGTAAATGCATGAACAAGGCAGCACTGCCTCGAAAACAGGTATTATTCTCGATTCTGCTGAGAACAAAGTCATGCAGAGCGAGTTGGGACTGCGCATTGATGATGCAACCTTGGCCCGTCAGCGAAAGATCCGCACCACCGTACAGTTGCGTGGGCATGTTGCCAATGCCGAAAAGCGTAACAGAAGGAGTCACACCCAAATGCTCAATGATGCCCAGTCCTTCACCGCAGGCTGAACCGCAATTTGCTAAATGACGCGCACCCATTGTTAAGACATTGTTGACCCCGGTTGAGTCCGGACCACAACAGAAGGGCCGGGTCGAATTGCGGGGGCGCGAATGCTGCCACAGTGGCCCAGTGGCTTTGGTGATGACCGTGCCGAGGAGGGGTGACGCCAGATGCGGTGCTACAACTGCACTGTCATGTTTTAACTCTGCGTCAGTTATTATTCATTGAGCCCGTGGCCTGATGGACGCATAACAGAGCGCAAAACTTCCGTTGGTGCAGTTGGACTGTCTGAATGATATCAGAACGCGGGCTTGGCCAAAAACATAAATGTTCGTGTAGCGGCATAATGGTTACCGTTTCAGAGTGTGGATCAGTTGTGATCCGATAGCAATTTCAAAAGCATGCATGACTGGCCGCATGAGATGCCCTTAGCAAACCACCATTGTGAAAAACATTGAACGTATTCATGCATTTCTTGATTAAGAAACTGGGACTGCTTGGCATATTTTGGTGCAAAGGATGCATTTTAGAACACGCTCATGTTCAATTGGGGAAACATCAGTTTAGAGGATGGACGGTGAGGGAATTGCCCTGGCCATAGCGTCTTCTCCACAAGAAAGCATGTGGTGAAGTTGTTGACGTGTTTTATCACTCTCTATGTTTGCTGTAGCTGGCAGGTATTTTGAATCTTGAAAATGACCATGTGAATCATACGAGTAGTCAGAAATGCACCGTTTGAGTGGTGGATTAGAGACTCTCTCAATTTGCTTGCCTCGCAATCCTTTTGCTATTGGTGGTGGAGAGTCCGCATTCCAGTAGCCCCATACCCCGAACTGGTTTCTGAGCAAACAGACATCAATGGCATGTTTTGTACGCGAGCTGCATTTGGGTGATGCGTTGGCACATGATTGAATTTTGTATAGGCGTTTGTGAAGGATGAGAAGCTTAAGGATACAAACAGGGAGACGGTTGTGCATAAGCAAGGAAAAACTTTGATCGTGTTTCCTGCCGCAGTGGGAAGGGAAAGTCGTTTTCGAACTTGGAGCCGGGCTAACAAATATGTAAGCCCGAGCTCCATGAGGGAGCTGCGGAAGGCCGCTTGTGGCATCCGCTAGACTGGCAACGAGTGTGGATTCGCGCTTCCTGCAATCGCTCCAAGGAGCGATTTCGGTCACGACTCAACCGGCCAACCTCAGCAATCACACTATCAAAACCTTCCAACCTCATGCGAGCCTGGGTGCTTGATCAATCAAACGAATGTTAAGGTACACGTGGCAACGTTTCCTTGCCATTGTCCATGCCAGAAACTATATCTGCAACCTCAATGCAGGCCAACTCACGGTGGAACGGGCCGTGAGAATCCAGCACAGGACCAACCACCATTCAGGTCTCCTCCATCCATGTGACATGCACGCATCCCCACGCCATCAATCATGGGGATTGCTGGCCAAGGAATCTCATCGCCAAGGTCGTCAGATATTAACGCAGGCGCAGCTGCTGCTATCAAATTGAGTCCAGCATCGTATCGCTCTTGCACACCCTCCTTGCCATACAAAATTTCACACACAAGTAGGCTAATACTCCCCTGGTAAGAATGCCATCCTTCGTCTGTTGCCCCGCCCACAGCCACAGGCTCCCCCGTCGAGTCGTAGTGCCTTCCTGCTTTTCGCCAGCTTGGCTGAAATGTCAAAATCGTTGCTGCTATCATGTCAGCGCCATATACACTCTGCCCGCCCTATGGAAGTACCATATATATAATGCACCACACCCACAAACACACCACTGACACCTTCCAGAACATTCTGCTGGCTTGCTGACAGCCTGCCGCAACCCCTTGGATGCTTCTTGCTTGTGCTCCTTGGAGGAACACCCAGGAAACCAACACAACTCTCCAGACATCACAACAGCTTGGGCGCCAAGGCACTTGTCCCTCACTGCCTTAATGGCACCAGAGCAATGTGTTGTCCTGCACATGCTGATGCACGACAACTCTTCCCCGTCTGGCACTGCGTGCCCATCCCCAGAGAGCCCTTCATCACTGGGGAGTTCCCAGTGGGAACGAATCACAAGCCCAGCAGTGTGTGGGCTATCTACAGTCAAAACCATCATGCACCCAGGACCGTTGTGGCCACGTTGTAGCAGAACATGGCACCCTTGGCCCCATCCTTCACCCATTGCGGTGCCTCATCCCACATCTTGCCTGCCCTCCTGAACATCTTGCGTGACAGAAACTTCTCCCCAGCCCTGTGCATTTTTATGAACAATTTGCCACGCAGCACAGATTGCGACCCTTGGCCCTGAAGCGTGAACACGAGGCCGACGTCCACAGGTACCAGCCGCCTGTCAAGGGGGCCCCCCGAGGGGGTGATATTCAGCAGCGAAGGGGCACCATGCTGGGCTGGGTTCCACAGTGCCACTGCGCAGACCTTGTGCACAGCAAAAACGGAACTCAGCACTTGCGATCAGATGAATGCTCGGGTCCAGGTTTGCTGAAAGAGCCTTTTGAGAATGCATTCACAAAGCCCTTTTCAGGTGGGCTTCTGCAAACAAAGCCTTGAAAGTGCACAATGCAGTTCTGTATGCACATAGATTCGTACAGACACCTAAGAGTACTATTTGCTGCATTCATGCATGTTCTTGTATTTGGCTTTCGCACCTGTCATTGGTGGCTCCTGTAGCGCCTGTCCAAGGCAGACAGGACCTGGCATATTCTTGTTAGGAGGAGTCATACAAGGGCACAAGCAATTTTCTCAATTATCCTATTTCTTCTCAACTCACAACCACACCCATGGACATTGTTTGCTACTGAACTGTGTGTTGCATTGTGTGTGGAGCAACATCAAGATTTTCCAGTTGTCTCTGTTCCGCTGCCACAGGGCAGAACCGGCGGCAACATTTCAGCCCCGTCCCTGGCTTTCAGATTTTGCAAACTGCCTGTCGTTCACCTGCGTTCCAAACGAATTGCACACACCTCATCAACAGCAGAGTTGGTGACATAGGGCTGCAGCTGCAGTGGAGGGCCATCCACTGGAGTGACATGCACACAGTCCACAGACTGGATCCTCAGGGGCAGGCTCTTCTCATGTGTGACTGAGATGTTCATCTTGTAGGACTGCTCCAGGGCCATCATGAAGATGGGGTGGTCGGGCAGGCCTTCGTCAGTCATTAGGGGGCACTCGTTACCAGGGTGAAACTCGAAATGGGTGCGTGCGCCAAGACCAGCCTGCTCAGCAGGGCTCAAAGCCTCCAGCACGATGTTCACCATGAGGTTGGCTGAGCGAATTTCATCCGCAGCGATAGCCACCATTTGCTCGATGCGCGCAAGCTGCTGGGCCACCTGGAACAAGGACCACAGGTTTCAGAAGGACACTGCTGGCCGGCAGCCATCCCATTGCATCCCACAACCCCTGTGGGAACACACAAAGGTGCTGTGGAAAGTGTTGAAGCCACATGTGCTAAGATGTGCCTCACAGCCCTGAGGGTCAACAGAAATGGTGCGACATTTGGACACCACCAAAAATTGTTGCTTTGGTGGTGCTCCAATCACCCGCAGCAAGTCCATTCCAATCGCAAACAAAGGCTGACTGCCCACAATCACCACCATGCAGTTCATCTGAAAGTTTCATCCCAGATTGCCAAAAAGGTATTCAGGAGACTGCTGGAAAGGGTCCACCCTGGACGCGAGCAGGTAGGACACCTTATCAAACTTCTCTGCTTGCTGGAGCGTGTCATCCGCAGAGCGGAAGTATGCATTCCCAAGAGCAGTGGAAGCACTCCAGCGTGCTTGTGGGTCTCTCTGCAGGGTGTTGGCAATCAATCGGCGGAGCTGGCGCTCTTTCACGGCATTCAGGTCAGGCATCTGGCTGAAGCCCAAGAGCTTTTGCCGCACCTCAGCAGGGCTGGCAGTTGGGCCAAAGAACCTCATTCCTGAATGAGGCAGTGATCTTGAAGTTAGGCACTAATAACAAATGGCATGGAGACATCTAACTGTTTGAAGCGCAGCTGGAAAAGATCGAAGTGGAAGAATGCAAAAGCCATGGGTCAATTTCAATCTCTGTTTTGGCTACATTTGGTATGGCGTGGCTGCCTGGAACTAATCTCACAGTTTCATGCGGATGTCTGGACTGATGTCGTGCCAATAGCAGGCAGGCCTACAAAGCACACTGTGGCTAGGCTGCAGGGCATCTTGCACAATACTAGCACAGTGGAGTGCCTGTTTCAGGCCATCCCAAAGCAAGGCAAGAGTTTGACTTGTAACAGGGGCCACGGCCACATTTTCTCAGGATTCGAACAGGGCTACCCATTGCAGCTTGAATGCAGCCAGATAGTCTGCCAGGTCTGGCAGAGCGATCGCTCGCCTTGCGCTCTTTCATCACCTGTCGAAACCTCGTAGCCGATGATACCAAAGGAGAACATGTCGGCTGATGTCTCCAGCACAACATCATTCTTCCCTTGGATGTCTGCTGTCACAGACTCTGGGGGAGCGTACATCAGAGTGTAAGCCACATTAGCTGGTTCACCCGCTCGTGCCCAGTTGTCCAGGTCAGTCAATTTCCAGCTGTAATCTTCAGAGAAGAACATGATGTTGCTGGGCTTCAAATCACGATGGATGATGTAGTGCTTGTGCATTTCCTGCAGTCCCTCCAAAATCTGACAACACAAACTCGCTGCCTTTAAATACTATGGGCAAAAGTATACAACTGGGCAACTGCCCACAACCTGAACTTGAAAATAAACAGACAGACACTGTGTAGCCAAGTGATCTGGCACCACAATGCCTGTGATAGTCCATTCCATTTGGTAACTTTGCACAAAAAACACACATCCTGGATCATCCCAATGCTGCCCACATGGTAATAAATTTGGGAAGCCAAGTTTTTGGCAAATTTGTGGTGCTGACACTGAACAGTGCTACCATTGTACAGGCTGACAGATGATCAATGTCGGTTCTCTTACCCAAGCACCATTATCAGGATCTCACCTGGCTCAAAGCGAGCTTCACCAGCAGAGGCTTTGGCCGAGACTTCTTCAGCCAATCTCCAAGTGTGTAGTCCCCCCTCTGGAAGACAAGGGCATCAGGGAGGCCCCCAGAAGCCTTTGAAGGGATGGCATCTTCGAGTCTGGTGACAAACAGGGAAGGAGGGGAATGCCAAGTCAGGACAATGTGCTCTAACAGCAGAAATAGTGGCAGAAATGCCACACAGATGCTGGATGGGGAATGAACCAATGAAAGCTGTGCCACAAAGCACAAGCATCAACAACGACACCTGGACTACTTATTTCCCATTTCACTGTGCTGTTCATGGCCTCCTTCACAGTGGACAAACAAATATATCTGAATGAGCAGAATGTACAGAAAAATGTGCCAAAATAAGCTGTGCAAGCACATGTACTCAAAATGGTAACACACTAAACGATCTCACAAATCCCCACCTTGCTATGTACTGCGATGACATTCTCTTGCGCACTTCTATTTCCTTTTCGTAGCCATCGGGATCTGCAAAGAACTTGATGGCCACCTGCTGCTTGTTAAACTTGCCCTTGGCAAGAAAGACCACAGCACTAGACCCTGAGAAACGCTCTTCCTCAATCACATACCTGCAGATTGAAACCAGGCATGACCAGTAACTTAACAGAGCCAACATCAAGTCCACATTCCAGCCATGAAATTAGTCATCGTTCAAGCCGCAGTTATTCCACAGATTGCCATCAAAGCTGGTGGCGCAGGACTGCTATTCGTAAGAATAGCGCTTCCACACCCATGTGAACATTCAACTTGTGAAAATGCAAGGCCATCTATGGTACACAGTTTGATTTCCAGCTCTTTTGGTGTGATAGTTTACCACATCACTGGCTAATGGTCAACAACTCTGAACAACAGCATTTGCCCATCTGCAATGCGAAAATCGCCAGGCTGCCTGCATCGACGTCATTAACATAACATGCGTTAGACACCACATTCTGATGACTCCATTGCTCCCAGTCAGCAGCCACCTCTGTACATGAGTCTCTCTCTACATGGACATCTCTTTGTTTTGCTTCTGACCTATACATCGCCGAAAGGTGGCACAGGCTGTGGACATCATGCTTGTGCTGCTGGGAGAGGAGTTGGCTTTAGTGAAGGCTATGCAATTAAGGAATTCATCATCATCAACATAACGTGTATAATACACGTCATGTGCACATTGTGTATACATCATGTGTACACATCATGTACATATTGTGTATGCACAAATGCCTTCCATCAGTGTTTGGACACATTGCTGCACTCCACCACTCAGCACACTTGTCAAAGTCCGAAAACCCAGAATATGGCAATCCCAGCTCTGTCAATTGAATGGCAAAAACGCAGCCTGCACACCACATGCAAGCGAACAATGCCAACAGTGGTCATGGAGGTCATGGAGTGCAACAGGATCCAAATTTGGCAGGTAGTGCAACAAAATCGGCGCGGCTGGAAAATGGCAGTGCAATGGGCTGGGCTCCCACCTGCCAGCAAACTCCGAACCCTCGTGCAGCTTTGCCAGCTTCTTGTTCAGCACAGCCACAAGGCGTGCCCCCTCTTCCTCTGAAGTAGACTCCATCAGCTTGTGGGGATCGGCCCCTGCCCTGTCCTTGCTCTGGGCGAAGTTGTCCAACATGTCCTTTGTCAGGCCAGCAATGGGCCCTCCTCCTCCCCCTGCAGCAGCTGACTGGAAGCTGTCTGCAGAGGATGCGATGCTGCTTGACAGGAGCGGTGCTGCAGCCTCGGCGTGCTTGTAGCGTTGCACACTGGAGTCAGTGAGGGGCTGGACTGAGACGCCATGGGCCGCAGGTGAGGCTGCAGTGGCCGCTGGGCTGTCGCCCAGTGGTTGGGGAGCTGAGCCCTTGTCCATGACAATGGCGTTGAGATGCGAGTCGCTGTCAACTGCCTTTTTGTACGATCTGTCAGCTTTGCCCATCTTTCTGAGAAAAACATACACAGCCAGAACAGACACCCCAGCCAAAACCAATGCCCCAGCGACTGAGCCTGCTGCTATTGCGGCAATCGTGTCATCGTCATCTGTCCCACTGCTTCCACCTACAAGACAGGGAGAAGAGACTTAACGCATTGCATCGTTGTGCCCCTCCTGTTCTGTAGCGACACAGTTAGACTTAAAAAATGAAGCACAGTGCTGTCAGGTAGTTTGTCCCACAAATGCACGTTCCTCCACACTTGTCACACATGGACGCTGCAAATTTTGGGGCATCCCTGATCCTTACATTGTTTTTCCCTCATCGGACATCTGATGGGTTATTTCGAGCACGGAGGAGCCTGACACATGTAAACACTGCACACAACTTTTAAAAAAAGACAGACCCGTCCCTGCACTTGATGCTCTCCATAACTAGCACATCCCATACCATTCAACACACTAAACGCACTACTATCAAGAAGGAAAATCGAGCAAATGCGCTGCCTTGCATGCAGTGTTGGACAAGTGCTAATGTGTCTACAGGGGTTCATGGCCTACACCTCAAAGGTGGTCACTACCACCCATATGGTAACGTGGATAGACTAGAAACACTAGCATGCTAGAAATGCTTGCATTGTGCAGTTCATCAGGATCAAGAAGCACTGACAGGTGGCAGCTGCAAGAATAAAAGGATCCGATCACCTTCTGCGCAGAAATACACACAAGTGCGGACCTACCCCAGCAAATGCTGATCAACAACCACACATTTGACCACCTACCCTTTGCAGCATTCTTACAACAAGCCACAGCAAGAACAACGATAAGTAATCAAGGCAAACATTCCGAGATGTGCCTACTGGCAGCTGAGCCCACCAGTGGAAACTCCTGCTGTTGCTGACGCCGTGCTCCCATCGCTGCTGGAAGAGGGACTCGTTGAAGGTGGGGATACCAGTGGTGTCACACCAGGTGAGGGCGATGGCAAGGGTGGGCTTGGAGATCTGGGTGGGGACGGCGGGCTGGGAGTTGGAGATGAGGGAGAAGGGGAAGGGTTGGGTGGGGAGGGGTTGGGGCTGGGGCTTGGGGGTGGGTTGGGGGGCCGGGATGGCGGGCTGGTCCCTGTAGGACAAGGATCTTCCGAAGCATCCAGTATCTCCCACCGGTTAAGATTCCCGCTACCAGGTTGGAAGCAGCCAATCAGGGTGACACGTGACTGTTGGGCATTGTTCTGAGGACAAAAACCCCTAGCCGAGCCCGGCAGCTCCATGAAGTACTGGTTGTCATTTACGATCGTCCATGTCGTTCCACCAGCCGGACATGGAGCCCCACCGATTCGGTCTGCAGCAAACATGGACACAGCTGTGAGGAACAACATGGATCGAGTGTGCCATTGGGACACTTGTGGTGACTCGCGGTCGTCATTGCTTGCATGGGCTTCCCACTTTCGTTCCAGCCAGCACTAAAACTCCACAATGTTCCCCCTAACCTGCACATTTTCAGGTCCAAAAGCCTCAGTCGTGGCCTCACACAATTGTACGCAACACTCCTCCCCCCAATACAAATGCCGTCCACAATCCCGTTGAGATCTGGCCATCAGGCACTCAGATCTGACCCGCCAGGCAGCGTGCTAGTGAGCTGTTGCACATCTGCACTTATCCAGTGTCAAGCATGCTATGTGGCACTGAATTTGTCCACAACGGTCATAGCAAGAGTGAAATGCTTACTCCTGTTGCTGCCACTGCCTTGTGTTAGGCACTCTCCGTTGCTTGATTGGAGCCCATTCGAGTCTGTCTCGTTGAATATGGACTCTGGGCCCGTCCCACATTTCTCAAGGGTAACGATCCCCGAGTCCCTTCGAGTCCAGCAGTTGCATTCGCCATCAAGGGTCTTAATCCTGATGTCAGCGCCTGCGTAAACAAAGATCCAGACAACTCATACAAGGGCCCACACAAGTAGCCATGATGGCTAATTGAATGGCGTCGTGGCCTTGGGCATGTGGCCACATGCCGTGCACATGATGGCGTGAATTCGGGTCTCTCCAATGTACTTGGCAATGCTGTGCCCACCTTGGGCAATCTGACAGCACAGGCCAAGTATCACGAAGCTGGCCCATGTACGTTGCAGCCACATAGCCATCTGTGTTGAATCCTCCATGGCAAGTCCTGTGCGGCAAAAACAAACAACTGAGCACTCAATGGGAAGTGGGCGAGGACAACCAGATCACCCTCAGTGAAAGGCAGCAAGGTGATCACAAGGCCGCCATAAGACCGATTCAGCAATCCGCCCAGAACGCCACAATCTTCATCAGCCCTCTGGAGCAGGGAGCAATGCAAGGTCATCTCTTCGGCAAGGGCAGCAGCGTGTGCGATTGTGTTCGTGCCCGTCCTCGCGGCAGCTCCCGTCTTTAGGTCCACGGCCCAGCGGCAGCAACACCGGCGGAAGCGCAGATAGGTAGCGCAGGGCGGACAGGCATTGAATGTGCAGGCATGCAGCAGTGGCGACAAACGCAGGCGAACACCTATTCATGCTTCGATTGCAGTTCACAGGACTCAAGGCCTCGACATTTGCAGCGACCAGCGCGGACAACGCCGCTGCCAGCAGGCGGCGCAGGCGCCTGAGCACATGCCACGTCAGTGGCGGGCACAGCTCCCCAAACGATAAACTCATGCAGCAAGTCCGCCCGATCGCAGGCCACGGCGCCCTCACGCCACCTGCGTCACGTCTATTGTGAGGCTCACCGCGGGAGGCCCCCTTGAACTTCGTGAACTCTGCTCCTACCGTCGGGAGAGCCGTAGGGCTGAAGGCGCTCCCAGGACAGAAACACAATTGCCGTGACAAGAGACCGCGGGCTTGGCTCTCCCAGGGGGCCTCAGGCGCCCTAGCAGGCCTTTTGCGGTCGCCCCAGCGACAAATGTACACAGCCAGAACGACGCCACTGGGGGGCGCCAAGGAACTGCGGCTGAGCTGCGACGACCGGCCGCTCCAGAAGCGCGGGAGGCAGAAAGATAGGCGCGCAACAACGGATCGCAGACGCCGACGATTGACGCCGGTGACGGCAGAATGTGTCACCCACCGAGTGCAGCACCGCGCCCTCCGCTTCGTGGCTCCCTCTGGCCCGGTCCCGTAGCTGCAGTAGTTCTGCAGGCGGGACGGGCCCTCGGAGCCAGGGCTCTCCTGTGGCCGTCGGGAGGCGCTTCGACGGGCCCCGCCGGGCGCTGCAAAAATGTGTGCGCCCGTCCCCGTAAGTGTGCACGTCCGTGAGGGCTTGTGTGCGCGTGGTCTGGCGGGCGCTTCGGGAACCAATTAGGAAGTGCACAGTCAGGGCGTGTTTCTCACAGGGGGAGGTACGAAACAGTGTTAGTCAACGGGGCCGCCGCGCAACCCCGCCAAGCTCGCGGTGGCCCCCTGGCCCGTTGGGCAAACGCCAATTTCGGAGAGCTTTGGTGGGCGACAAGCCTGGATCGTTCGAAGTCTGCACGCCGTTCCCGTGCCAGGGGGTCATCGCCGCTGACCAGCCAGGGTGGGTCTCACGGTGAACACCCGCTCCCGAACCACATGCTCGAACGGCTCTCCTGCTCTCCTGGGACTTTGCACGCCGGCCGCCGCGGTTTCCGTGCAGGCAGTGCGGGCTCAAGTGGCTTGAGGGAAGGGGGGTTGGGGGGGTGGGGGGACCGCCAGCTTCTGCACCCTAGAAGATTGAGATTGACTCCTCAACGCTTCGTGACCATTGGTCTTTGCCGTCAAATGCCACTCGCAGTTCAGGCGACGAGGCGACGGCTGCAGCTATGCCCAAATCACAGAGCGGCAGTTGTTCGTAGAGTTACCGGCGGTCAACGGACACCAGCGCCTAGCACGGCGCTTCCTTCGTCGATCGTCTTTCGGTGATCGGTGCCGATCTGGTGGCGTCATTGGCGCCTGTGGTTTGCACCTGGGTTGGCAGGCGGCGGTGACACCAGGATCGCACTCCCCATAACTTTAGCCTTGGCAAACACGCCCCCCAAGGACGCGAGCCCAGGGATGCATACAGAAAAGGATATAGTGGCTGCTGAGTTTCCAGCCACGCCTGGAGGTCGCGCGTCCTGGCCCAGACGGCTCCTCCCGGCTGTGCGTTGTTCACGAAGTGCTGTCTGTGGCCCCGCGTGTCGGGCGCTTCTTCATCCGAACTTCCGGGGCGCGGGTGAGTGCTTTAAGTACAGCCGCGGCTGCGTGAGTATTTGGGTGGTGTAAATGTGGGGTTGTTCGCGCAGCTGCATAATGACCACCGTTTCACTGGGTGAGCCACTTATGATTCAGCTGGCGAGGGACTCACGTCTGACATGCACGCTGACTGTGTGGGATGGCCCAAGTACGCCACCACCGGCTAGAAAAGGAAAAAATCAAAACCAAGAACAAAAACTGGTCAAGGAGGCACAGCCCCATAAACGCACAATTGTGTGAACTAGTGGCTGGAATTTCCAGACGTCTCTTTAAGAGATGTCAACCGATGGAGCACATTCTCATGCACGTATGGACCAGTGAAGAACGCTCCAGCTGGTCCCAAACCCCTTGTTCAAGAGTTTTTCTTTTTCTTTTTCACTTGTTCAGTGACTTTCCCATATTTTCTTTACTCCTATCACTTATTCAACGACATTCAGAGCTCCATAATAAACTCATCATCTGGGACCACCGAAGAGCGGGCTGGCTGGGCAAAACACCAACACAGCCCCATGCTGAGGAAAGATATATCCCAGCATGTTTCTTGCGGCCCAAACTTGTGAATAGCATGGCCTAGAACACAATTCTATAATGGGTCAATCAGACTCTACCCATAGCTGGAAAGGGACATCAGCTTCTAGGATCAAATCTGGACTGAAGTGATGTGATGAAGCAGCTCGCAACACAGTCAGCATGTATGTTTTCTCCACAACAATATTGCAGCTGTGGGTGATTGATGAATAAGCGAACACATGCAGCCTTAGTATGGGGTAGTCCACCCTGGCAAGAGCCATCAGGTGTGGGCCCAAACTTTCGGCCATGCATGGTTATTTTTTAGCCTTTTTCAGGCCAGCCACCTCTTAGCAGAGAGCGAGTGGCTGTGAGGCTGGATACACGCCCAAACTGGGTAGTATCCTTATCCAGGATACATAGCCCCACCAGATATTGAGAACCGCGGTCAATACTGGTGAGGAGGCTTTCACTGAAATACTCTTGCTACGTAGGGTGTTGCTCAGTCGTCACCAAGCTCCCCTTGCGGCAAAACTCCTCTCAACTTTCATGACCAACTTGCTATAATACCAAAAACGCAAGCACTTAGTAGACCATTTTACAGGCATGCGCCTTAAAGAACATGCCAGGATGTCTCTTTCTCTGGCATGGTACTAAGCTGAGGTACCTTTCCAGCTCGGGCACCCTTTTGGCGCCTTGGACTTGGTGCAAATGGTTCTTGCCACTAAAAAAGTGGCTAGAATCTACTCGCCACTGTAAAAGTGGTGCTGTTGCGGGGCTCTTTTAATGGCCTCCGCTGATCCCTTTTCTCCGGCGCGCGTCCCACTTCATCCCCCCGCACCCGGTTGGGCCGATGGCCCCTCCGCCGAATCCGGCGGGCGTAATCGGGGTGCTCGCTCGTTCGTTGCGCGGTGGGCCCTCTT